AGGTTATCTGTCAATAAAATTGTCGAGTTCGATTCAGCTCGATAACACCTCAATCACACTACTGTCCGGTTGCAATCGAGGTTTTCAAGTCGAGAAGAAGACCTGGGTTAACCGTGCCTTAGTGACAAGAAATCGTTTTCCGACAGCGTAGCTTAAGTCAAGAAAAATTATCTGTCAACAAAGACCCTTCGAGTTCGATTTCATTTAACTCGAGGGACTATCAACCACATGGTGAAGTCAATGAACCATTTTCCAGTCGAATTTTCAAACCAAGATCTTTAATTCGAGAAGAAGACCGAAGTTGACTACAATTTGGCAACGAGAGCCACATCCGATTCAAATTCCGAACTACGACTTCAATTTCACATCGTTTCAAGATAGATTCGGCTTCGCGACAGATGAGTCATCCACAACTCAATTTGACATGGAGTTATTTCTAATTGCAATATCATAGTTAATTAGACTCAGAGACTCTTTCATGCCGAACGAAAATTTATGTTACAAGTCTATTACAATGACCAAGACCCAAAAGCCCACTTAAATCAGCAATGGCCAACAATGACCCGTCTCCACAGGGTCGTAAACTTCGAAGATGTAACACCCCCAACCCGTATCCGACCCGGATACGAGTCCGAAGTGTCACATTGACTTTTCAAACATTTATTCGTATAAAATAGTGAGTAATTTAAAAACTTTGATAACATTTAACTTATTCAAAACGTTTACAAAATATATCAGAATTCATACAATTTATATCTTTAGACTACATGCCAACTACACTCTATAAACAGTACATATATTTTCTGATCCGACATTTGGTAAGGAGAACTGACCTGTCTTGCTCCGCATTACTCTTTACTCTTCTCGAAACCTACGTGTGAAACAATCACACGCTAAGTCGAAGACTTAGTGAGGCATAACAACTTATAATGCACTTTATAACATATATTAATACATGCATATTTTGTTCTATCATGTTATACCAATACCATGCATTCTTTGTATCCTATAAACTCATATCAGATTAATTACAGTAAATACATACATACACATAATTCATCATTAACAGTATATCTTGTAGTCACATACTTTTATGGTTAACCTTTTCAATCAAACACTATACACACACAACATCATATCATAATCATACATATATCACATACATTGTTCTCATATCACCAATATCCATACCTGTAAGCATATTACTTTAACATTCATGAATTTGTATTAATGAGTTTCTTGGCCCATGATATCATATTGAGAACCTAAGGTATCTGAGTATTGTGAGGTTGTGCACTATGCTGTCACCACAGCTCGTATAAATGCACCGAAGTGCCACGTAGAATTGCACCGTAGTGCCATATAATGATGTCCATAAGGACCACATAGAATTCCTTAAGAATCATATACATATGCTAGGGATCATATATGTGTCTCACCAGACTTCACACATGTTCCAAAGAATATATATATATATCCCGAAGGACCGCGTAGAATATTGTCCCGAAGGACCGCGTAGACCCTCTACTCTTGGCATGCCAACTATACCCCTAGCTCTCAAGACACATAACATGGGCATTTTCTTTTATACTTATCATTTCACATAAACTTGTAATTCACTTCCCATATCACGTATCACATAGCTTCGTTTCATATTATCACATAGTCACTTAGTTCACTTACACGTAGATCATTTTCATATCATTCTCATGTCACATATATCATGTTTTCATATAATTTCTATCATTTCTCACCCAATCACATTTATTCATGTAAACATACTTATCATATCTTGTTCACATAAGATCATATATGCTACATATAACACATAGAACACTTCCTCCTAGCTTATATCAATTTTCAGAGTTCTTTCATATTACCTGATGACATATATCATATAGATATAATAACGGATATCATATTATCTACCTTATGCTCTATTTCTTTGTATTCCCATAGATTATAAATTATGTTGTATTTCTAAACATATATCATTTAATAGTATTTTTATTTAGGTACTAATTTAATCTCTTACTTAATTCAATTTCATATATTCATTATAATCTTTCATATAGCTCCATTATACTAATTCTCATATAAATCATACCACTAAGTACTTGTCCAACTCATGTTTCCATTATGCATACTGTTACCCATGTTTACCTAGTTCATATCAATTCTTATAAACTCACTTTCATCATATTTCCTATTATTACATATTTTATCTCATAACCATATATCCACATAGTCTTATATTTCATTATCATATTACATATACTTGTTCTCCTATGACCCTTAATAAACATATATTTCTATTTCCCTACATCTCTCGACTTATCTTCTATATTCCTATAATTTCATAACTTATTTTATATCATTTTCCCTTTTATTCACATCAACCATCTATTTATTTAGTTCAATTTCTCATGACTTCCACAATACTCTTTAATAAAACTTTGTAGCTCTTCACTATAATACATAAACCATAGTTTCCTTTAATTTATCAATCTTCCCTATATTACTTATGTATCCTTATTTATGCCCTCGAATTCATACTATTCTCTTAAAGTCTCCTAATATTTCTCGTATAATTACTTATACCATATCATATAACTTATACTTTATTATCTTATTCTCTCATATTCATTTCATTTCTTATGACTCTATCATATAACTTATCTCATGTTCTTCCATTATTATATATTAAAGTCTTACATACATCATATAACATATACAAAGCATATCATTATCTTTAGTCATGCATACATACAATCAATGTAATACAGATAATCACATATAATTATAACCACACATAATCATGTCCATGACTTCATGCATATTACTTTAGGAAATAGACTCATCGCAAGTCTTATTTCCATTAAACACTACATATCACTAGTATGCACTCACCTGGGCCTCGTTGTTTGAATTAATCCTAATCCTTAGTTTGTTCGGAACAAGCTTTCATTCTATATCTACATAATACATTAATACTTATCAGTATACTGATTGATATATTCGAACTATCACTCCTTAGTCTCAAAGAAAAGCCAATTTCATCTTTTAATGAAGGTATGCATCGATGCACTACACCATGCATCGATAAATCCTATTCGATGTTTGTATTTAATGGAGATGCATCGATGCACTCCTTATGCATCGATGCATAAATCTCATTCGATGTTTTCTATTTAAATTCATGCATCGATGCACTGCATGTGCATCGATGCACCTTAAACAATTTCTGGTATTTATCATCGATGCATCGGTGCACAATGAATGTGCATCGATGCACATTGCCCAGAACTGACATTTTAGCACGTAAATCATTAACTCTTCCCTTAATTCTTCTATTTTAAGCTCCTCTTATGACATTAAACTCAACTACTATAACTTGAACCAACTTATATTCATGTAAATCATCTTTAACCTCAAAATCCTATCTTCTTTATGAGATTCAAGAATCATACCAAATTTTCTATATGATATAAATCCAATTCTATCACTCCAAATCTCTTAATTTAACCATTGACAAGTCAAATTAAACTTCCAATCTAAGAAATGAACTTTATTCCAAGATTTCATTTGTAAACTCTAAATCTTTAATCTCTCCTAACTCCACCATCCTTTGCTTTTAAGATGATTTAAGCTTTCCTTAAGCTTAGTTATCATCTAATAATTAAAACCTAACCTTAAAATCAACAATTCAATTATAAACAAAGAAACTTACCTTTGGCTCTTGGCTTCCACGTGAAGAAGAAGAAGAAAGGAGAAGAGAACTCTGGAGAACTCTCTCCCTTTCCACGTGCCTTTATCCTTACAAATCCTATTTTTTTATTTATTTCTTGGTCAATTAACCCTTTTGCCCTTTATTTCCTTTACTAATTACTAAATAACCTTCAACATATATATCCAATAATCATTGAACTATTTCATTCTTATACTTTAGTCACCAAATTCTGAAACTTTACAATTTGGTCACTAACCCGGTATTGCGGATGTTACGGAAGAGCCCTCAACCGCTCGGTTAACTGGTGTCGATTTTCCCGGCGATTTCCTCGGTAATAACAACAACCCACTCACCAACCAACCAAGCAAGTTTAGTGTCATTAGGGAAATCTAAAAATAACCTCTTTTTTATTATAAATACGTTGTAATCGATACATTGAACGGGGGAGGTTGTACACGATTTTACAGTGGAAATACAAGAAATATACGAGCAAAATCTCAAAAATATTCAGAGCATACGAAGTTCCTTTTTTTCTCTGCAAAAATTCAAAAAGAAAATCAATGAGAAATTCGGAAATTACCAGGGAAACATACGAAATACGGAGAAAAATATACAGAAAAAAGAGGATACGCTTGTGAGAGAATAATCTGTTAAAATGAGAAGCAAAACACTAAGACGGTGAGCGAACCTTTCAACTTCGGGCAAATCAGCGTCCAACGAAGGATTTCTGAACTTGAATAAGGTTGTTGCATTCGATCGTCATGGAAGCTAAAATTCTTTCGGTTTCTTAAAATCGTTGGAGTCGGCTACAAAGCCAGATCTGAAGCCGAGGGAAGACTTTTATTTCTGAAACTAGGATACAGTCACGAAGTCGAACTCACCGTTCCTCCAGCTGTCCGTGTTTTTTTGCTTAAAAAACAATGTTGTTTGTTGTACTGGACTGGACCAGTAAAGAGTGCATCAGTTTGTCGCTACTGTTCGAAGTTGCAAGCCTCCAGAAGTTTACAAAGGCAAAGGTATAATGTACATTGACGAGGTTATCAAGAAGAAACAAGGTAAAAAAATCGAAATGATTAAACTCTCTTATGTGTCCACCTGGACTTTGCTATGGAGTACACGTTAAAGGCTTTAATTCTTAGTTAATTGGCTGTGGAATGGTGGAATGGTTAGTTAATTTGTTTTGTGAGTTTCCTTTGATATTTTAATTTGGCCATGTTATTTTTAAATTTTTTTAATTTAGTCATTATTTTATATTTGATTTAATTATTATTTCAATCTTTTAAATATTTGATTTTTTCTGTTCTAGTACTTTCATTTTTTTATATTTTAGTCATTTAACCTTTTTTCTATTTTTATCATTTACATTTTTATTTATTTTTATATTCGATTTATTTAATATTTATTTTTTTCTAACCTTTTTTTACCCTTTTTAGGGTTAATTTCAATCAATCAAAGGTGATTAATTTGAATTGAAAATTTAAATTTTTGTGATTAAGACAACCGACAAATTAATTGGTACCGAAAGGGCGGTTCAAGGGTGCTAATACTTCCTTAACCGTAACCGACTCCCGAACCCGACACGTTTCTGATACAACGTATATCAGGTAAGACGGTGTCCGACCCACCTAAATTCGTTTTAAAATGGTCGGTGGCGACTCCAATTCATTTAATCCAAGTCGAAGCCCAATTCAGGGCCCGACCGAAAGACGGCCGCGACAGCTTGGCGACTCCGCTTGGGACAGGTAAGTGAGTAAGGCCGAAATTAATTTTTGGTTATCTTTTTTTAGCGAAAATTACTAATTTAAATTTTAATTTATTTATTCGATTCCAATTATTTATCTTTGATTATTTTTTTCAAGTAAATAGTTGTACTGACGTTTTTTCAATGATTTCATATTTTTGAAAAGTTTCCATCCCTGGCTCTATACCCGAGCTCCGAACCCTTTTAAATGGGGGCAAAAGCGACTCCTTCGTGTGAATTTATTCACCCTATGGGCCTAGCAAGTAACATTCGGGATTCATATACCTTATGTCTTCGTGTGAATTTATTCTCCGTATGGGCATAAAGGAATATTTCCTCTCGAGTTTAACTTAGTCCACATAAGCTTGTAATGGGCTTAGGACTAAGGGTCTGGTAAGCCCAAGGGTGCACCGACAAGGAGAACTCGGGTACCGTTTTTTAGAACCTAAACCGAGAGGCTATGAAGAATTAGAGCCCCCCCAAAACCTCATTCCAAACCCTAGGCTGTTTTGTTTAATGCTTTACTTTCTGTTCAAAGCATGCGAACTAGACAAATATGTGGTTAGGATTTGTGTGGAATTAGCATGCGGGATAGAGATCATGTCCGAGTAGATATCATGTGGGGTAGAACTTTTATTTTCATTATTGTTTTTTATTATTTTTACCTTACTAACTATTTTTAATTTTTGTTCTCTTTTATTTTTTTTCATTATTTACATCATTTAAAAAAGGTGTTGATCCACCAAAAACGTGTTTGTTAAAACATGAATAATCTGTATTAATGGACAAAGGGGTTGTAATACAAGAGGTGAAAAACTCAGGGGTCCGGCTATGGTCAGAAAACACTTAGAAAGAAAATGAGGATAATCTGCAAAACAACTATGTGTCACATTCGATCAAGAAGACATGGTGCCCACAATCAAATAGATCAAAAGTTAACTTTTCAAAAATGAGTTACTGGCCTCGAGAGTCCCTTCAAAGACAACAAGAACAAGATGACAAAACGATAGTTGAATTGGAAGCCATTGTCGACAAATTCAATGAACTTCAGATAATCCCTTTGATGGAGGATTTCAATGCCGTTTTCGTTATATAACAAGTTCAGCAAAGGATGAAAGCCAGAGATGCAGTCCTTCGATACTTTTGGGAACCAGTACAAAAAATAACTCAACATTTTCACGGTTCATCCATAGAGGCCGGAACGTTTCGACAGGTTATTCAACCGGTGAAAGATGAAGGTAAATGACTAGTTAACTTGTTTCAGGGTCTAGAGGATTTAGTCCGGATATACCTTTAAATATGTTTATTGTCTCTTAAAAGATAAAACACTTTTGTCCCAATAAAGATTATTTATAATAACATACATGTTTTCGGATCAATACCTCGAACATCTCATGCATTTTTGCATTTTGCATCTACATTCATTTTTAAGCATTTTCATAAGCATGAAATTTCTTCACGGAGGATTCGATGAAGTGGTCTTAACCACATGATACCACATGGAAGCAAGATTTTAACAATTAAAGAAAAAACTGAAATCAGTACAGTGGGAGCTCGATCAGCTGATTGTAGGACTAAGCCTGCCAGGATGATCTGAGAAAAGAGTCCACATCTTCTAAGGGCTACGATGTTGAAGCTGTTTGCAGTTACCACATAGGAACCCCCAAACATTCCTCTGAGAACTGTAAGGCACTGAAGCGCAAGATCCAAAACTTGATGACTTCAGGGGCATGGACAGCCGAAGAAGGGGGTATTGCATATATCATTTACACTCAGAGGATTGTTTTGTTTGAACACGTCTTTGATCTTTCATGTTCGCTTAATCTTTTAAACAATTGAATTTATGCTACTTTCTAAGGTGGAGCAATTGAACAAATTTGAATCTTTAGTTCTTCGAATATTAAATGAATTAAGGATTCTTTTAATTCTTCAAGAATTGTAGATTTTTGACATAAGGCAAGATTAGACCTTTTTTTATCCTATCTCAAACCCCAAAATAAAATACCTTGTTTCTCTACCCAACATAACTCATGGTTATTACCAAAGAGACCAAATTTTGACATTACCTCCCTTTAAATTTTTTTTAACAATGCCTTTATATTTTTGATACACCCATACCTTTCTTTGAGTTAATAAAGTCACACCATTGTCTTTTTAGACTCAAAATTGACATTTTTATACCATTAAAACCCAAGGCATTGAGTTGTTCATTTGAACATGAGCATTCTTCTAAGACACAACTTGGGCATCTCGCAAGGAGCCTGAACATTGAGACATGTTGGGGGCAAGAAGCAGAAAGAAGAATTCACTCGAAATAATTATACCATGCATTAATTACACTGTTTTCATGTTAATAAAAATAATCCTGAAAAATCTATCCCCCTGGGGATACCTCTTCTGTGAGGATTTCCATGTATGAAATGATGAACGACTTTCTTTCTTCATCCCTTCACAACAAGAGAAAATATATATCCTTTGTGTCCCCTTTTGAGCCTATAGTATCACCCTCCACACTGAGGGGCAAGGTGGAGAAAATCTGCTCGCATGAGTGAAGACATTGATTCAGATGAGATACCGAAAGGTGAACCAAATGCCAAGTGCGAAGATTCAATCAGAACAAAAAGAGAAAAAAAAAGAGAAAAAAGAGAAAATAAAAAGAGAAAAAAACAAAGAAAAATTGAAGAAAAAAGAAGACAAGATGCATATGCAAAGATTCTATTGATTCAAACAACGCATCGAGATTCAAACTATGAGATTGATCAAGCACAATCATTTTCGAAACACTGAATCACTTCACTCGAAGATCATAGAGTATCAAATGAGATTGATCAAGCACAATCATTTCCGAATCACTGAATCACTTCACTCGAAGATCATAGAGCATCAAGAGAGAGATACATACGAGCAGATTCAAATTGAGCAAGATATGATTGAAGACATCAGAATGAATTGATCCTTGGTTCAATCACCCTTAAACACTTGTTTGGGCCTTTTATCCATTTCTTTCATAACCATGAACCATGACCTACGTTACGTGCCTTAAAAGTCCCTTCTAATCATACATGGATTTCTGAACAGAAGAGACTATCTTCAGATTTCATCCCGCCCATCAGGATTAATTTTTATTTGCAAAAAAATAGTGTAATTAATGCATGATAGAGAAAAATAACAAAGGAGGGTTCAAGACGTAAATTTTGAATGTCGTCTTGAAACCAAAGGAGAATTCGAGTTGAAAACCTGAAAAGGCGGCTCGAATATAAAAATTGTACAATTGAGACGATCGCACAAATTCCTTGATAAGTCATCACACAATCCAAGCGTGACCATGAAAGCTAGGAGTCGGAGAACACTTCTAGTAAGAAGAGCATACAATCTACCCCATCAAACCTTTGAACATAAAATAAACAAAAATGCCAAACTTGTGACCAAACACAATAACCTGAGACATTTTTATATGTTTCTTACTTAACCATTTCCCAAAAATAGATTTGATCTTGGCACGTGTCAAACAGTTATAATTTATTGAATGATTAACAATGTAATTAATTCTTTAATATCCAATTAACTCTAGTTTTATGATTTGTCTCAATTATAAAACCGTGAAAGGGGCAATATTTTCAAAACTTTTGATTAAACATTTTTTCAAAGCTTTTTTTTATATTTTCAGAACTTTGAAAATAAAAAAGAAAGAAAAACATTTTTTTTCAAAACAAGACAACCTCTCTAGAGTGGATCTTGGTAAATGACATGTGGCTCTCAAACACAAAGCTCATGCTTAGAATCAATGCTGAAGCAAGAAATCAGGAACAATGAGGGCATCTTTGAAGATTCAACATCAAATATTGGGGCATTTTTTAGATTCAACATCGAATATTGGGACATTTTTTTAGATTCAACATCGAATATTAGGGCATCTTTGGGAATTCAACATCCTGATGCGAATTATCAGACCTTCTGAAGGCATTTCCTCCACTTGCAGGAACAAGCACACAAAGCATGAGACTCCATCCAGGGGATAAAACAGAACTAATTCATGTTACATACGTCTTAGACATACTTAAGAGCATCGCATTTATCATTTTTTGTATACATAAGTTTTTGCAGCTTTTAGAGTCAAGTTTCAACTTCAAGATGAATGATACTCGATTCAAAAGCACATTCAAAGTTGATAGTGGTTGCTCGACCTCACAGCGAAAGGGCGACTGTCTGACAACAAAACAACTTTCTAGTTTCAGTCAGAGTCAATTTCAACTTCACAGCGAATGATATTGAACTCAAAGTGACACAATTTGCTCGAGAGTAGATTTCACTTTCACGACGAAGGATATCTAGCTTGAGGCCAAACTTCACAATAAAGGGGTCATCCATGGTTTCAACTTTACGGCGAAGGGAATCGTGTCCACCCGCAACATACAATACTTGGATTTCAACTTCACGACGAAGGATATCCAAGTCAAGGCTCAACTTCATGACGAATGGGCCATCCGTAATTTCAACTTCACGACGGAGGATATCGTACCCACACATCCACGATTTTAACTCCACGATGGAGGATATCGTTCCATTTGAGGCTCAACTTTACGACGAAAGGGCTTCCCAATTTCATAGCCAATTTCAACTTCACAACGAAGGATATTGGACTCGAGACAACACAAGTTCAACTTCACAGCGAAGGGATGACTGGTTGTCAACAAACAATTTCCCAGTTTCAAAACCAATTTCAACTTCACAATGAAGGATATTGGACTCGAGACAACACAAGTTTAACTTCATAGTGAAGGGACAACTGGTTGTCAACAAACGATTTCCCAGTTCCAGAGCCAATTTTAACTTCACGACGGAGGATATTGGACTCAGAACAATACAACTTACTTGGATTTCAACTTCACGACGAAGGATATCCAATTCCAAGGCTCAACTTCACAACGAATGGGCCATCCACGGTTTTAACTTCACGACAAAGGGAATCGTGCTCACCATTGTCTCTCTTGAGACAGTTTCCCTTGAAACAAAATCTTTGAATATCTTTTCATTGAAACAAATTTCGTCTCCCTTGAGACATTTTCTTTTGGAACTAAGTTTTGTCTCTCTTGAGATAGTTTCTCTTGAAACATAAACATTGAAAACATTTCCCTTGAAATGAATTTTGTCTCTCTTGAGATAGTTTCCCTTGAAACAATTTTTGTCTCCCTTGAGACAGTTTCTCTTGAAGCATATTTTGTCTCCCTTGAGACAGTTTCTCTTGAAGCATAAACTTTGAAAATATTTCCCTTGAAACACAAAATATTTGAATCAGTTCCCCTTGAAACAAGTTTTGAGACAGTTTCATTGAAACACCAACCTTTGAAAGTGTTTCACTTGAAAAAAAAACCTTTGAAAGTGTTTCTCTTGAAACGCAAAGACCTTCGAGTTCGATTGCATTCAGCTCAGAGGCATATCAAATTTACAGCATAACTCAAGGCTAGAAGGGTTATCTGTCTCCAAAATACCTTCGAGTTCGACTACGCTCAGCTCTAAGGCATATCATTTGTAGCATAACTTAAGTCGAGAAGGGTTATCTGCCAACCAAAGAGCTTTGAGTTCGACTACGCTCAGCTCCAAGGCACATCATTTACAGCATAGCTTAAGTCGAGAAGGGCTATCTGCCAAAGACCCTCGAGTTCGACTACACTCAGCTTCGAGGGCACATTATTTACAGCATAACTCAAGGCTAGAAGGGTTATCTGTCACCAAAGACCTTTGAGTTCGACTAAGCTCAGCTCTAAGGCACATCATTTGCAGCATAGCTTAAGTCGAGAAGGACTATTTGCCAAAGACCTTCGAGTTCGATTACACTCAGCTCAAAGGCACCAACATTTTTAGCATAACTTAAGTCGAAAAGGGTTATCTACTAACCAAAGACCTTCGAGTTCGATTACGCTCAACTCCAATGCACATCATTTGTAGCATAGCTTAAGTCGAGAAGGGCTATCTGCCAAAGACCTTTGAGTTCGATTATACTCAGCTCAAAGGCACCATCATTTACAGCATAACTTAAGTCGAGAAGGGTTATCTACCAACCAAAGACATTCGAGTTCGACTACACTCAGCTCCAAAGCGCATCGTTTGCAGTATAGCTTAAGTCGAGAAGGGTTATCTTCTAAAGACCCTCGAGTTCGATTACACTCAGTTTCGAGGGTACATTATTTACAACATAACTCAAGGCTAGAAAGGTTATCTGTCAATAAAATTGTCGAGTTCGATTCAGCTCGATAACACCTCAATCACACTACTGTCCGGTTGCAATCGAGGTTTTCAAGTCGAGAAGAAGACCTGGGTTAACCGTGCCTTAGTGACAAGAAATCGTTTTCCGACAGCGTAGCTTAAGTCAAGAAAAATTATCTGTCAACAAAGACCCTTCGAGTTCGATTTCATTTAACTCGAGGGACTATCAACCACATGGTGAAGTCAATGAACCATTTTCCAGTCGAATTTTCAAACCAAGATCTTTAATTCGAGAAGAAGACCGAAGTTGACTACAATTTGGCAACGAGAGCCACATCCGATTCAAATTCCGAACTACGACTTCAATTTCACATCGTTTCAAGATAGATTCGGCTTCGCGACGGATGAGTCATCCACAACTCAATTTGACATGGAGTTATTTCTAATTGCAATATCATAGTTAATTAGACTCAGAGACTCTTTCATGCCGAACGAAAATTTATGTTACAAGTCTATTACAATGACCAAGACCCAAAAGCCCACTTAAATCAGCAATGGCCAACAATGACCCATCTCCACAGGGTCGTAAACTTCGAAGATGTAACACCCCCAACCCGTATCCGACCCGGATACGAGTCCGAAGTGTCACATTGACTTTTCAAACATTTATTCGTATAAAATAGTGAGTAATTTAAAAACTTTGATAACATTTAACTTATTCAAAACGTTTACAAAATATATCAGAGTTCATACAATTTATATCTTTAGACTACATGCCAACTACACTCTATAAACAGTACATATATTTTCTGATCCGACATTTGGTAAGGAGAACTGACCTGTCTTGCTCCGCATTACTCTTTACTCTTCTCGAAACCTACGTGTGAAACAATCACACGCTAAGTCGAAGACTTAGTGAGGCATAACAACTTATAATGCACTTTATAACATATATTAATACATGCATATTTTGTTCTATCATGTTATACCAATACCATGCATTCTTTGTATCCTATAAACTCATATCAGATTAATTACAGTAAATACATACATACACATAATTCATCATTAACAGTTTATCTTGTAGTCACATACTTTTATGGTTAACCTTTTCAATCAAACACTATACACACACACAACATCATATCATAAATCATATACATATATCACATACATTGTTCTCATATCACCAATATCCATACCTGTAAGCATATTACTTTAACATTCATGAATTTGTATTAATGAGTTTCTTGGCCCATGATATCATATTGAGAACCTAAGGTATCTGAGTATTGTGAGGTTGTGCACTATGCTGTCACCACAGCTCGTATAAATGCACCGAAGTGCCACGTAGAATTGCACCGTAGTGCCATATAATGATGTCCATAAGGACCACATAGAATTCCTTAAGAATCATATACATATGCTAGGGATCATATATGTGTCTCACCAGACTTCACACATGTTCCAAAGAATATATATATATCCCGAAGGACCGCGTAGAATATTGTCTCGAAGGACCGCGTAGAATATTGTCCCGAAGGACCGCGTAGACCCTCTACTCTTGGCATGCCAACTATACCCCTAGCTCTCAAGACACATAACATGGGCATTTTCTTTTATACTTATCATTTCACATAAACTTGTAATTCACTTCCCATATCACGTATCACATAGCTTCGTTTCATATTATCACATAGTCACATAGTTCACTTACACGTAGATCATTTTCATATCATTCTCATGTCACATATATCATGTTTTCATATAATTTCTATCATTTCTCACCCCAATCACATTTATTCATGTAAACATATTTATCATATCTTGTTCACATAAGATCATATATGCTACATATAACACATAGAACACTTCCTCCTAGCTTATATCAATTTTCAGAGTTCTTTCATATTACCTGATGACATATATCATATAGATATATAATAACGGATATCATATTATCTACCTTATGCTCTATTTCTTTGTATTCCCATAGATTATAAATTATGTTGTATTTCTAAACATATATCATTTAATAGTATTTTTATTTAGGTACTAATTTAATCTCTTTACTTAATTCAATTTCATATATTCATTATAATCTTTTCATATAGCTCCATTATACTAATTCTCATAATAAATCATACCACTAAGTACTTGTCCAACTCATGTTTCCATTATGCATATACTGTTACCCATGTTTACCTAGTTCATATCAATTCTTATAAACTCACTTTCATCATATTTTCCTATTATTACATATTTTATCTCATAACCATATATCCACATAGTCTTATATTTCATTATCATATTACATATACTTGTTCTCCTATGACCCTTAATAAACATATATTTCTATTTCCCTACATCTCTCGACTTATCTTCTATATTCCTATAATTTCATAACTTATTTTATATCATTTTCCCTTTTTATTCACATCAACCATCTATTTATTTAGTTCAATTTCTCATGACTTCCACAATACTCTTTAATAAAACTTTGTAGCTCTTCACTATAATACATAAACCATAGTTTCCTTTAATTTATCAATCTTCCCTATATTACTTATGTATCCTTATTTATGCCCTCGAATTCATACTATTCTCTTAAAGTCTCCTAATATTTCTCGTATAATTACTTATACCATATCATATAACTTATACTTTATTATCTTATTCTCTCATAT